GTCAAACAGCACATCATAGTCCTCACATATTGAAGAATACACATTAAATTAAGCTCGGGGATGCATTCGTCGGCCTCGTCACCTTGGTAGCCTGCATCCACGATCTGGTTTTCGTCCTGCAGCCACATTTCGAGCTTGAGCCCGGGGTGAGGGGGGGGGTTCAGGATTTGGGCCAATGGATCTTCAAGTATGTCTAATTTAACGTACAGGACCACCCGATCCGTGAGTTATGAAGGATCAGGGGACTCAGCACTGAGGGCTTAGGGTTGATCCGATACACTCTTCTTCAGGGCTCAGGGCATTCGCGATTTAGGGCTCAGGGGAATAAGCTATAGGGCTTCGGCCTGTGGACTTTAGTTGGTCGCATCCATTGTCCTCGGCCCCCTGCCCTTCTTCTGCATTCCCTTCCGCGGGGCTTTGTCGATCCTGTTGACGGCTCCAGGCACAAGGATTTAGGATTTTGGGGATTGAGAGATCTGTGCTTGCAAGCTTCACATACCGTCCTCTGCCTCTTCATCTTCAGGGAGGCTTGCTTGATCCTGTCGCCAGCTCCGTGGTTTCAGGCATACTTCAGAGCTGAGGGGATTTAGGGTTTGAAGGGCCCTTTATCCCATGTACCGTCCTCTGCCACTTCGGATTCCCCTTCTTCACTTCTTGAGACCTGATCAGGGGGATTGTGGGTCTGGAGTCTTTAAAAGATCCTTATTATTTTCCCTGAACCCTTAACCCTAAAACCCCTATACCCCAAACCATTGTAAACTAAGTGTCCTCGGCCACTTCGGCTTCTGACGCTTCGGCTTTTGACACCTCTTCACTTCTTGGATCCTCGGGGGGACAGTGGCTCTGGATCCTTACTCCCCGACCACCTAAACCCTAAACCCTGAACCTGTATCTAGAGTGTCCTCTGCCACTTCGGATTCCCCTGCGCTTCTTGAGACCTGATCAGGGGGGTTGTGGGTCCGGAGCCTTATAATTGATCCTATATTGTTTATAGCATAATCCCCTAAACCCTAAACCATTGTAAACTAAGTGTCCTCAGCCACGTCGGCTTCTGACGCCTCTTCTTCACTTCTTCGATCCTCGGGGGGACTGTGGCTCTGGATCCTTGCTCCCCGACCCCCTAAACCCTACCTACACCCTCCGTGCGGGCAGAATATTATGCCTGGCATAGGGTCAGGCGCCTGGCGGTAGTGCCAGGCGAAAAAAAAGCCGGCAGGCGGAATCTTGATTTCAGAGACAAATCCACATGTTTCGGGCTCGAACGATCAGCTTGTAGAGCCCTTTTGGGGGCGATGATGATGACTGGTGCCACCCCCCCCCCGGAGCTCTGCACATGATTGCATTGTGTCGGACATGTTTGCATTGCTGTGGCATTTGATGTGCCTGCTCTCCGTCGCTCTGTTGGGCTTACATAGCTTTGTTTGCTGACTTTCGCTTTTGCAGTAGCTTCGCCTAGCCATCTTGAAAGATGGTCCTTTGCAATGTGAACATCGTTCTCTCGAGTGAGTTGAGTCGCGAAGGCCGGCTCCTTATGTGTATGGGACTTATAAACCTATACTTGAAACATGGTGAAACCCAAACATGAGGTCTGATGGACATGCCAGACCTTTTCTGGCAGCGATGCCAGGAGGTGCTGTACCCAGAGGATGCAGCCCAGGCATGACACACTGTTTGGATTCGTGGTAGCTACATCCCTCCAGTCAACCCTATACACCTTTAAACCCTACATATATGCCTATATAAACCCATAAAAGCCTTAAAACCCTACAAGCCCTAAAAACCGCCAAAACACCAGGCTCACCCGGACGATGATCGATTGTGGACCATTCTTGCCAACTATCGCC